TTATAAATTCAGTTGTTGAGATATTATGCGAAATTTGTTCTACAAAAACTGTTTCATAGAATTTTTGAGTGTATTCGGCAATAAATGACTAGTACTTTTAAAATACAAAATTTCATGCAGAACAATTGACCGAAGGAAAAGAAGTTATTGCATTACAAACCTTACACGGTCAAATGAAACTTTTGCTGATGTGATAAAATTTCAACTGGACAAGATCACGTCATTTCGTTACCAGTCCCATGCTTAAAAACATGTAGGGAGCCATTTTAAGTGTAAAATTTCCCTATTACCTATACTAATATAATACGTTTGGTTAGCATGCAAGATTGGCCACAAAAATTTATAATCACGTTACGCAAACATTGGTACACTGCGCCTCATGAACGGTGGTGTTCTCAAAATATGCTTTTAATATTATGATAACAATATTGTTACAGCACTGTTCAACCATTACTACTGTAACAACTTATTGACAACATTGAACAACCATGTTATCAATGCTTAAAGGATTAGTTTGGATCCATAGCACGAATAGTTTGGGTCCACGCACCACTGTCCTTAGACGATGTTTTACCCTATTTAGATAACGCACAATTGGGCAGGTAGGGAGTTGAGTTGGTTAAAAACACGGCGCTGTAAAATACGGGCGTGGAAACGGAGATAGCGCCCTTGATCTATGTGTGATGCACGGACACCCCCCCCCGTATACATTAAAAACAAAAATTTTCAAAACAAATAACAAAAGCCCGCGGGTGCATTATCGTGGCATTATTTTTGTAAACAACTCAATTACATAAAAGCTAAAGCTTCGTTTGTTGCAGGAAACAATAGGGCCAAAAAAAAATATGTGGGTTTCCGGTTTCTTCTTATAAAAACTTAGGTAGGGTAGGTCGGTTTTAACTTTTTTTTTTTAACTTTTTTTTTAATTTTCCGAACAAGCGGACGCCATTTTGTTTAGTCAGTGCTTCCACATCCAAAGATAAATTTCCCTAATATTGCCTCAAATTTCAATTTTCCACAAACTTTTCCTCTAAGTGGAAACACTTACAAGCATGATCCAATAAAAAAGTTTAGGGTCGGGATTTCGACGTCCAAAAGCTAGGTAGGGTCGGGAAACCGGAAACCCACATATTTTTTTTGGCCTAGGGCCATTTATGCGAGCGAAAATAAGCCGCGGCCTAAATAAGCCGCGGCTTGAATAAGTCGCGAACGACTCGTATAAACAGTCAATTTGCAATAAGCCGCGCGGCTAAAACAAGCCCAGGCTTGAAAGCTAGGCCTAAATAAGCCGCGGCTTATTGGAAATTGACTGTTTATACGAGTTGTTCGCGACTTATTTAAGCCGCGGCTTATTTTCGCTCGTATAAATGGCCCTAATGTAGACACTAGAAAAAATAAATTAAGGTACTCGATGGATTATAGTTACAACACTTTATTTAAACAACAGAGAAGACAAATATATATATTGTCGACTGTCCTGCAAGACATACGCTGTTCCTCAAAATTCTTTGTTAGACTTCATGCTTGACTTATGTATCAGATTATGTTGGGGAACTTCGCCTTACTAAATATTAGCTAAATGTGTATAGAAATTTGGCGGTCACTGAGTTTGGCAATAAGCCATACAAATGTTTTATAAATTAGATATGATCTTCCGTAAACTGGAACAATGGTAACATGGCGTGTAAGTTCTCCAAAGTCGTGAAGTGGGCAGCAACGTTATAAACAAGCGCTAGCCAAATTTATCTTTTCGTAAACAGCTCATATAATACTGAGAGCTAAAGCTGTATTATAAATGTATTATAAATTACATATGATCTTTGACATCACTCAAAAACTCCTCCTTATTTGTCCACTTATCTGAGATCACGACCAACTTTACCATCGTACGAAAGAAGGAAATATAAGTATCGTAATTCCTGAGCCTCTCTGCTTCATCTGCCAGCTTTGCTGTCTTCAGCACCATGCCAGAAGGCAGAATAACCACGACCATTGGCCGTTCAATACCATCAAGGAATTCAGAGGCCTTTCGTTTGACAGACTGCAGTAGGGTCACTTTCTTCGTTTTGTCCTCAACGATCTGCTCTGGGCTCTGTCCAAATGTCCAAACAGGAACATGACGGTTGGTTAAGCGATCCATCAGTGACTGCTCCAGCTGACGTGACTCATCCATCCGAATAGCGAAATCCACAATGAGGATATCTGCAGGGTCTAGAGTAATGTTATCTCTTTTAAGTATATCCGGGGGGATGACATCAGTTATGGCTCTGTAAACAATATCCACACATTTGTCGTACATCTCGCTCACGTTTTCTTCAACAGCCCATGTCACAGGTAACCCTTCGTAAGAGTGGCCAAGGATCCGTTCAGTTCCATAAGGGTAAGATCGATCTGCATACAATTTACTGTAATCTCTTTCAAGCTCGGTGATACTGTTCGTGGCTCTCATGACTTGGGTGATATGACGAACTTCTCCACCATTTTCATGAAGCGCTGTTAAAAGTGGCTGAGTATTAGCTTTCACTTTCTTCGCTTCTGGTTGGTAGTTGAACACAGAGCTAATCCATACATAACCTGGTAATCCACGAACAAGCTCCTGTATTATATTGTTCTCAGTCGTTCTGGACCCAATCCAGTACTCGTCGATAAAGGCGTGTTCATACTCGCCACTTTGAATCTTTTTCCTGATCTCTGATGTCGTATGGTCTGTGTCTTCACGTGATTCGTCCTTCATTACAATAGAGATAACCTCAACGAGATGGGACTTTTTGAAAAACTTTTTAATGTGGTAAAAGAATAGAGAATTTCTCTCGGGATAATCGGAACATCCATTGGCAAGGATGTACATAATCTTCTTCCCTCTCTTGCTTTTTTTCATTTCAATATCCAGTTCGAGGGCTTTGAACCTCAATAGCTCTGTTTTACCACTCCCTGGCGGGCCAATTATCAACTGTTTGCTGGGTCCTTCAAAAACAACCAGTTGCTCTGAGGTCATAACTATTGGATGGCAAGCATGTTTGAGTCGCATTCGACATGTTAGTGATCCCAAGACTTGTTTGTCAATAGCACTCGGTTTGTTTCCATCTATGAAAGGTGATGTTGCGAGGTGTCGGTCAAGCATGTTCAAATCCTTAGGAGATTCTAGCTTTAGGAATGGATACTTCTTCAGTACTTCTTCGTTGGTATCCTCCTCTTCGATCTCCAACCACACTTTTCGCATCCTGTTAATGTAATCTACAGTATGCTTGTGGAAGAGGCAATAAGACTCTTCAAATAGAGCAAATATTGCATCGTCTATCAACGAATATTTATCTCCATCAATATACTTGCTGTTTTCCAACAATTTGTTAAGAAGCTTTTTTCCTTTATTTCCTCGAAGATCTTTTTCACTCAGTTTGTTGTTCTTCATAAAAGATTGCTGTAACTGCTGTAACTTTTCTTCTGCTTCCTTTTCTTCTGCTTCCTTTTCTTTTTCTGCTTTCTTCTTCAAATCAGGATCTTTTTCTTCTTCCTCTACCGAAACTGGATATTTTTTATATTTTTCACTGAGGACATTCCAACACCATTTCCAAAGATACGGGAACATATTCTCTATCAGTTGGGGGTAGGCTGCATTACCATGATACTTGTATGTATCCAGCGATTTCTGGATTTCTTTTATATATTCGACATCTGTAACAGGGCTCATATGCCGGATCATCAAAATATATGATAACGCTCGCTCGTAAGCTTCGGTTTCTGCTGACATTTTAATCATGGCTGGGCTTTCGATTGCTTTATTCCACCATTCCCGAAATGAAGAAATGTCTCGAGAGTCGTCTTCAAATAGGAGTAATGTGTCATGTCCCCGAAGTTGGACTTTAAAATTAGCTTTCTTGGTGGATGGTAAAGCAATAACCTTCTTGTATGGAAAACAGCATTTGGACTTTGACGGTGTACCTTCCTCTGAGTTGGCAAAATTCGTGATGAGTTGTTGACTAATGTCAAGCTGATCCTCTGCTTTCTGTACTACTTCCTCTATGGCTTGTTGTGAAACGCTCGAGCAATTTTTCACTTCAATCGATATTATACCAAGCTGATGGTGGAAAATGATGAAATCGCACTCCCCAGTTCTTGCAACTAATTTAGGTACTAGATAGTTTTTGTATTTCTTGTTCCATTTCGTTATATCTTTTAACTTAAAACCTTGAACAACAAACATACCCATTTTTCCATCGTCCCCAAGCCTCTTCAAGAGATTGTAGATGATCCCTTCACCCCTATCACCTGGATCAACAAAGGGCACAGACTGCGTGATACCAATCTGGTGACGGCTTTGCTGTGATTGCAAGACAGGAGGAATCAGGTACGTTGTATTGTTGTCCTTCCATCCGGGAAATCGCTTGTGTAGAAACACTTCAGCAACATCTTTGGCTTTGGCCATCTATACAATGACAATATTGTACTATTATACTTGTCACTATTGAATGTTAGCTAATATTATCATGGTATACCCACTTATTATTGGTGCAATTATTGTAAACAAATATACAAATACGTACAGTACATACAATATACAAACAGTCAACCTCATACCCAGGCTCTTTCCTATATATTAATGTAAATTAATAAAGCTAGAAACAGGAATAACCAACAATTTATCCACCAGGGTAGCATGTTGATTCTCAATATAACTTAATTTATTGTCAAACTTGATTGGCAGCTCCATGCGGTTGTATGTAAGCCATTTTGGGTGATTGATGAACGGATTTCGGAGTCTCAATATCAAACACAACACGAGTTTCACTGTTGGCGTTATTAGGCCGCGGGTGCCGTGAACACCTTTATATTTGCTTTGAACAACTTAAGATTGCTATCATTGTGATGTGTTTTTTACTATTTTGGATTAGGAATAATTGTGGGTGTTCAATTCGTGTTTATCAATTATATTAATGATATTGAGAAAATAGACCTGTTTCCAGTAGCGTAGTATAATATAGCATTTGTTAATTCTGAACGCTGATTGGCTAAGAGCCGTGTTGATATAACTCAATGTCAACACGGAAACGTCGGAAAATTTATTTCTTTATATTTCTATGTGCGATATTATAAAACATTTTTTCCGTATTGATATGCAGTTTTAGTATTTTTGCACAAGTGAACATAATAAATCCTACAACCTTGGCGTATTAAGCTGTTATATTCACTTACATGTGAATATAACAAAACTGAAAGTTACAAAATGGCGGCTAGCCGTTTTGTGGAAGTTTAGTGATAAAGAAATAAGCGAAATTAAAATAAATTCAGTACCAAATAACACAAAAGACTTGTGTAAAAATACTAAAACAATTATTCACCTCAGGCTCAGTGACACAATTTCGAGTTTTCCCAATTTCCACTCGTGTTGATAAAATTGTATATCGACACGGAAAATGTTTTATATTTGTTAAGTATCAAATTTATGTCAATCCGCACAATTGCTGCAGTCACGGGTCTAACAAGATGCCTGATTTGCAGGCAACGTTGGTTGGTACCTAATAGTGATTATCTATCCGTAAATCTAACATTTGTTTCTTTCTCTATTTCGCATTTAATTTGCAACGGTGTGCATCGAGGTGTGCATCATGAGCTAATAAATTTCGACATTTATTTATTTATTTAGCTTTGCCAACTTGGGCAGGGTCACCACAACAGCATATGCCAATTACTGTGGGCCCTTTTTACCCAACCCACCCTGTCAACTTTCCCTGTGGGAGGAAGCCGGAGTACCCGGGGAAAACCCACGACTTTCGGCAGAGCGTTGACTTTTACTCTTTTCACATGAGGACTGGGTTCGAGTCGCGTCACCGAGAAAGTTCTCACTGAGATTTGAACCTGCGACCTTGGAGATCTGGGTACGAGATTGCCTTGGAGGTGAAACGCAAATGCGCTAACCCACTTCGCCACCGAAGCCCCATATATTAAAAGATGTATACTGATTATTGTTATAAAAGACCATCGTTTATCATGTTAACTATTGTTAAAGATGCTGTAAAGTCCGTATAAATGTAAACAAACGCTTTGTTTACCTATTGAATAGGCTCAGATTCCAGCCGTTGTGTTAAGTGGGCGAGTGGCGAGAACACAACGGCTGGAATCTGAGCCTACCTATTGAACTGCTATACTTGTAAAATATTGTTTGAAAGATGAGTCCGGATTTTTTTCGAGTCCGGGTCCAGGTTTCTCGAGTACGAGTCCGGGTTTTGCTCGAGTCCGGATTATTTTCGATTCGAGTCCGGTCTGCGTATAACAACGCCATGCAGGCCTGTAATAGCGCGTTCGTTTTGTCGAAAATCGTGATTTTCCAAGCTTATCGTTTGCGCTAATACTATAGTCAACTAGAACGTCCTAAAACGCATTTGCCATTCACGCTACATTATTTGCGGTAGAATTGGCAATACACCGCAGGGTGGCTGTTCGCTTTGAAATACTCACTTAGTCACTTGTGCATTTTTTTCTAAATTGCCCGAGAAACCATGATATTACCTATACTAACCAAATAATATACGCCGAATACTACTACAATATAACTGTTTTAAAAAACATAACTGTTTTTAAAACGTGTTCGACAGGACAAAGTTTTACTGATTGGATTGCGAATTGATTATTTTTTTTTGAAAATTTGTAATTCTAGCCTTCATTGACATTTTCTGAACACAAGTTTTCCTTTTGTATAAGCTGTATTAATTTACGTACTCAGTCTCAGGGCAACATTATGAATCTTTCGTTTTCACAATGTCATCTTGTTAATGCCAGTTTCCAAAAATTCTGATAATTTTATACATGGGCGTACCGGTTTGTTGGGCAGTCGGGCAATATTCGCAGAACAGTCGGGCAATTTTGGTGCATTAAAAAAGAAATGAGACAAATTCTGTAAATTTTGTGGTCAATTTTGTGATGTTTCCAAAATTTTTGTTAGGTTCCGGAAAATTTTGGTATGTCCGGAAAAAATTTTTGACCCCTAAAATGGTACACTGACCGAAATTTTTTTGGCGACGGGGTCGCCAAAATAAATTCTGGAAAAAATTTTTAGTCAGGCAAAATCCGAAAAAGTCGGGCACGTTTCTTTCCGCCCCCCTAAATTTTTCCTTCCGGTACGCCCATGATTTTATATAATTATATAATTTGGATTATATGATGTGTTATTTAAATGAAATGTGTTTAGAAAATATAATAGTTTTCGCAACTGTATGTGCTATATCGATACGGTTGGCCTATTGAGCTCAATTGAGCGCCCAATAACAATTCGTGGGCATATGACGCTCGTAGAAAATATAATATACATACCGGATATTTATAATATGAATAGATCTGCAAAAAAGAACATCACATTGCCTTTTTCCTTAAACGTTAATTAAAGTCGTTGTGTGAGAAAAAATTACGCAATCTGTCTACGCTCGAAATTACGTAATCTAAGTTCTTCAAGATTTGCACTAGTAACGGTTTGGTACATTATTCGGTGGCTACGAAGTTCCTTAGGTGTCACGCGTGTAAACCTGTAGTATTTCAGTCATTTCAAGATCAAATTATTGTGTTTTTAACGTGGAAATGTTCGGTGAAGGCGCGCTTTTATTTGTCTAGTTAGAGCGGGCAACAAATATTCTGTACTCGCAGGAGTGTCTTAGTGACATAAAATTTATGATTAATCATTATTATTATATATTATTATCTATCCGCAACGCGCATTTTCTACCAAACCAATTGATATCGACAATTAGATCGGTAAAACAAACTTAGTCCCGCACTCTTATGTAAAATTTTTGTTGAGACACGTGACCAGTCGATCTGGACCAGATCTTTCCTCCAGCGAGGAGCGTTGAGGAAAGAGCCTGGGTACTAGTGCTGTGCGCCGGAGTTGCCGGAGCCGGAGTTCTGCCGGAGCTCCGGCGGTTTTTCCGACGCCGGAGCCGGAGCAGAATTTTGTATGCCGGAGCCGGAGTTACGTTTTCCCAACTCCGGCAAAATGACAAGAAAACAATATAAAATGAGACAAATGTCAAACGATTGTTAGTTACTGCAAACTGCCAATTGCTGTTAATGAATCCACCATAGACTCAAACTGCCACAGCCCACAGGAACAGCATCGAAAAGCTGTAATACGATCGTCATGCTTTCGTGAAGCCAGATATCTGACTTAGCGCTACATAGTCTGTGTATTCATTGGACCAACTGGAATGTTGGCTGGAGTCAGACCGACTCCGTACTCGGCACTCCGTCGTTTCCACCATCCCTTTCTAAGAAACAGCAGTACGTATTCTAATGATTGATGGCCCTTGAAAGACTTTTTGTATTGACAAATCGCTCAAAATTAATAATGAAAAATTCAGTACGTTTGATCCTTGATAACTTTGGAATTGTCGCCTTCGCCTTTTTCGGCCGTATACCAATGGATTCCTTTCATTTTTCTCTTCATTTTGATACTATTTTGAGCCAAAAATATTTTAATTTGAGGGTTTAAAACGAAAAGTTTTAATCCTAGTCTACGGACCAACTGCTGGGCGACAGGAATGGTTAGCACTATTTTCCATCCAGCAAACTGACCTGACGTCATTTTTGGAAGATGAATAGGTGTTAAATGGCTATGTAACTAACCCAAACCCTATCCCTACTGTAACCCCTAACCCTAACCTCAACCACAACTCTAACCCTAACCAAATTAGTAAAAGAATCCAGAAAGAAACAACCCTAGAAAATCGATAGGGCGGTTTGCCGGATGAAAAATAGTGCTAACCGAACGTGGGTAGACCGCATTTTATATACTCTGTCTGGTTTCATCTGAGAGTTTGCACCATACGAACTTGTAGCATATAAACATAGTTTTAAAGAAAGTTAGGTGTGAATTTTGTGGAGGTTCGTTCAAATGGGCTTACTCACAATTACGTCAGCCCTACCTGTCAGCTGGCCTAGCACAGTTCATGTAATACTAATCACAAGTAGGCAGCCTGATAGAGGTAGCCGCAGTTAAAAGGTCATCTCATTTAGCCGAGGTGATCTCGTCCACATAATCCCCTAAAAATGGTCTTCTACACAGTATGTGAGAACACAAGTTATTGTTGAATAACTGACGTATTTTCCCTCTTATACACCCTCATACTCGACATTAGACTTATACTCAATATCCCAAAGAATACAGTAGTGAATTAATTACCTGGCCTCCTTCTGTTTTAACAGCAATTTCCCCTTCGACAACATGTGTAACTTCTGTAGTTGAGCTGGATGTTTCTGCCATAATGTCTGTGCCAAAATAATTTCAAACAATACCGACAGATGATGAATAGTTTCATGAAAAGCTTTGATCATTCAAGATCTCTCAGAGCATGTAACATTTCTGGAACTACATAGATAATGGAACCGAATTATTAACAAACACTGTGGATCAGTTCCTCTCGCGTTAAATATGAGTCATCATTTGGCGTCAAAACATATTGGGATGTGACCACATAACATATGCAATTGACATCTTGGGAATGCCGACGTCCAGAAATCGTGCTGAGATTACTTGCTGAGATTAGCTAATAATATATTTAGGGTATTGTAGATGAAAATTATCGAGTGTAAATTTATATACATTTATATAAATGCAATCTGATTGGTCCACGAGAAATCGTGTTGAGATCACAGGCTCAGATTAGCTAATAATCACTTTAACCGCAGTAGCAGCAGGAGTCACTGACAAGAATCTAGTGCTGACAAGAATCTTTTGCGCGAGAGCAGGGTAATATAACATTGTGATAATCCATTATTGAAACTGTGCAACGTGAGTGAAGATAAGACACACAGCAACCTCGTACCCATGGCCTTTGCGCGGTTGAAAGGCTCTGGTACTAGTTATGAGTTCGTCGTACACACGAACAAGTAACAAGTAAACTCGTTTGTTCCTTTAGTATAAGAGTAATTGTATAAGAGTACTAAGCTACCAAGTTGAAATGAATACGGGTTAAGGTTTCCAGCCATGCACTTTCGTTTCAAGGCAAAAACCTTAATCTACATGATGCCAAATAATCATTACTAGTTGGCGCTTGTTTATTTCTTTGCAATCTACGAACATTGTCCTAGAGCAGGCAACCATGACCCATCCTTAGCAACCCCTGAGTGTGTGCTTAACTTTTGCCGTCAACTACGTTTTGTCTCGTAAAGCACGAGTATTCATCACGTAAAAAAATTTGCGGATACTTGAGAGCTAAACTATAGCGTAATCGTTGACAACAAGCTTAAAGTATTACAAGATGAATTTGACAAATCCCATGATTCCAGCTATATAGACGAAATTTTGATCTAGACAAGAAGAACGAAATCCAATACCACAGCTGGAAAGAGCATCTTAAAATGAGTAAAATTGCAAAGTTTGGTTGAAATTGTTGTAAAATGAGGAAAATATATAGCCATGAAAATTGAGCCGAAAGTAGTTATTTTTACCGCGCGTAATTCAATTATATACAAAATTTGCGAATTTCACAGGGCTATATTTTCTTCATTTTACAACATTTAGCAACCAATCTTTGCAAGTTTTCCTCATTTTTAGACGCTCTTTCTAGCTGTGGTGTTGAATTTCGTTATTCTTGTCTAGATCAAAATTTAGTCTACAGCTGGAATCACCCAATAGGAAGTTTTTTTAACTATAGACAAACAGGTTAACCTAACCAGGAATATTAAGTTAATCCAAATAGTATTGTTTCTTGGTTAACCAGGATATTTTAACCAGAGTGTTTTTATAAAGTGCAATGCCATACAAATGTACTATTATATTATTGATATTATAAATCAGAGTTGAGTTTTGACATCACTTAAAAACTCCTCCTTATCCTCTGACTCACTTCACTATCGTACAAAAGAAATAAATCTAAGGATCGTACTTAAATGTCAAAATCGTATATATGAACAATAAAGAAAACAAATATATATTGCCAATTGTCCTGCATGGCATACGCTGTTCCTCAAAATCATTTGTTGGACTACATGCTTAACTTATGTTTCAGATTATACTGGTGGGCTTCGCCTTACTAAATATTAGCTAAATGTATATCGAAATTTGGCGGTCACTGACTTTGGCATTAAGCCATGCAAATGTATTATAAATTATATATGTTCTTTGACATCACTCAAAAACTCCTTCTTATTTGTCCACTTATCTGAGATTACGACCAACTTCACCATCGTACGAAAGAAGGATATATAGGGATCGTAATTCCTGAGCTTCTCTGCTCCATCTGCCAGCTTTGCTGTCTTCAGCACCATGCCAGAAGGCAGAATAACCACGACCATTGACCATTCAACACCGTCTACGAATTTGGAGGCACTATGTGTGACAGACTGCAGTAGAGTCACTTTCCCCGTTTTGTCTCGACTTTCATCAAATGTCCAAACAGGAACATGACGGTTGGTTAAGCGATCCATCAGTGACTGCTCCAGCTGACGTGACTCATCCATCCGAATAGCGAAATCCACAATGAGGACATCTGCAGGGTCTAGAGTAATCTTATCTCTTTTAAGTATATCCGGGGGGGTGACATGAGTTATGGCTCTGTAAACACTATCCACACATTTGTCGTACATCTCGCTCACGTTTTCTTCAACAGCCCAGGTGACAGGTAACCCTTTGTAAGAGTGGCCAAGGATCCGTTCAGTTCCATAAGGGTAAGATCGATCTGCATACAATTTACTGTAATCTCTTTCAAGCTCAATGATACTGTTCGTGGCTCTCGTGACTTGAGTGATATGGCGAACCTCTCCACCATTTTCATGCAGCGCTGTTAAAAGTGGCTGAGTATTTGCTTTCACTTTCTTCGCTTCTGGTTGGTAGTTGAACACAGAGCTAATCCATACATAACCTGGTAATCCACGAACAAGCTCTAGTATTATCTTGTGCTCAGTTGGTTTGGACCCAATACAGTACTCATCGATAAAGGCATGTTCATACTCGCCACTTTGAATCTTTTTCCTGATGTCGTATGT